GGGTTCGGCAGCTCGGCAGGGGGTGGGGGAAGGGGGGACTTAGGGGGGAGTCTTGTGGCCCATCCCCCCCGTCCCTGTCACCCCGAGTCGGTCCCATCCCTGTTTCCACCTTTTCTCATCCCATTCCTGTCCCCTCCCTGCCTCTCCAATCTCCATCCCCACCCCATTCATCCCATCCCATCCCAATCCCGATCTCTGCCCCATCCTGATCCCGATTCCCAACCCCATTTCCATCCCAATCCCTGCCTCGTTCCTATCCCAATTCCGATCCCCCCCCACTCCATCCCTGTCCTGATCCCTCCTTGTTCCCACCCAATCCCTGCCCCATCCCCCTCCCAGTATCCACCCGATCCCAATCCCTGCCCCATCCCTTCCCTGTCCCCATCCCATTCCCACCCCATTATCTCATTCCCATTATCCCATTATCCCATTATCCCATTCCCATTATCCCGTCCCGCTGACCGCAGCCGTTGGATGTTGGAGGACACCCCGGACAGGCGGTAGATGCCATCGACCACCCCGTGCTGCTCCACGAACTCCGTGCAGCTCCGGAGCACCTGCGGCACTGCGGGACAGGGACCCACCGTGATCCCACCGGGCCCAGGGACCCCGGATCCACGGGGTCCCACTGATCCCAAATCCCACCGGGCCCAGGGACCCCGGATCCATGGGGTCCCGCTGATCCCAAATCCCACCGGGCCCAGGGACCCCGGATCCACGGGGTCCCACTGATCCCAAATCCCACAGGACCCCACTGATCCCGGATCCCACACAGCCCAGCTGATCCCAGATCCCACAGAGTCCCACAGAGCCCTGATCCAGCAGGGTCCAACAGATCCAGGATCCACCAGAGCCTGAGTGAGCCCAGATCAAACTGAGCCCAGATTCCAGAGCCCAACTGAGCCCAGATCTGACAGAGCCCAGCTGATCCCTGATCCACCAGAGCCCAGCTGAGCCTGGATCAGACAGTGTCCAACTGATCCTGGATCCATCAGTGCCCACCAGACCCAGCCCCAGACCCGGATCCACCATCACCCACCTGAGCCCAAACCCAAATCCTGGATCCACCATCACCCACCTGAGCCCAGACCTGAATCTCAGGTGTGGAATCATCCACCTGAGCCCTGCCCAAATCCCAGATCCAGCCTCGCCCACCTGGGCCCGGCCCTGGCCCCACCAGCACCAGGGGGATGGGGAGGACCTCGGCCAACACCCCCCGGGGGTCCCCACAGGTCCCTGCACTGCTCCTGGGCCACCAACTCCAGGGATGGGGCCACCAACTTCACATCGGGATCAGGGGTTCCACAGGAATGAGGTCACAAATCCCAAAGGGTGGGATCACTAAATCCACGGGCATGGAGCCACCAAATCCACAAGGATGAGGCCACCAAAACCACGGGGATGAGGCCACCAAATCCCAAGGGATGGAGCCACCAACCCCACAGGATTAGGGCACCAAATCCCAAGAAATGAAGACACCAACTCCGCTGGGATGAGGCCACCAAATCCCAAGGGATGGAGCCACCACCCCCAGAAGGACAGAGTCACCAAATCCTGAAGGATTGGAGCCACCAAATCCCGAGCAACAGGGCCACCAAATCTGCGGGCATGAGGCCACCAAATCCCAAAGGATGGAGCCACCGACCCCAAGGAACGGCTCCCCCAACCCCTCAGGGCCAACCCCCCTGAGATTGGATCCCCCCCAAGCTCCAACCCCCCCAAATCCCGGCCGAGCCTCGGTGGCCGTGGCGCTTCCTGCAGCTCCGGTGACGCAACGCGTGGCGCAAGTCCCCCTCGAATCCCCTCCGGGGCCCCTTCCCCACTTCCGTGGGTGGCCCTGGTGGCCCCGGTGGCCCTCGGGGGGCTCGGGGGGCGGTTTGGGGTGGTGGCACTCACCGTCCTGCCCCGAGCTCTGGAGATGCTCGCGGAGGTCGCAGCCGAAGAGCCGCTCCCGGGAGCCGCCCTTGCGCCTCGCCCGGTGCCGGGCCTTGAGCGCCCGGGACATGGGGACAGGGATGGGCACGGGGACAGCGCGGGGGACACGGCCGGGGACACGGGGGCCACGCCGGGGGGGTCCCGGCGCTGTCCCCGCGGGGGTGGCAGGAAGGCGGAGGCCGCGCTCGAGGCGCTTCCTGCTCCAAACCA